CACTGCATTTTTTGATTTTGCCCACTAAGGAGAAAGTCATCCTTATTAGGACTCTTCAGCAATAAATGAAAATTCTCGACTCCAGTCTCTAATGGAGTGATTAGGACACAAATTTCGATCGAACTCAATTACGGCGGTTCGAGCATGAGTAGATGCGATAGTGGTATCGCCATCTATACTTAGTAAGCAGAATCAAATAACATCTAGTGGATATCCACGATGGTTTGAGTTTGCGCCTAGACTTTGATATATTTAGTGAATGTTCATGGGATATTGAATACACCTTAAAAAAAAATAATTTTAAATATCTGAACGGTACTATTAGCCACAATGGCGAGCACAATGGCGTACTTTTTTAATAATTTGCTATATAATTACTCTATTATTTATGGACATTTGCATATATAAATTACATTTCATGGATATAAAATAGATATCTACCATGGACTGGACATTCAGTGGATATTGGGATGTTCAGTAGATATCCAAAGGATTTGGTGTGATAAACACACCTTCTAAGAGCAAAAAATGAACGCAAGATAACAAAATGTTTTGATTTTTTTTTTATTTATTAGTTCGAGAGAATTTATTATTGCATGGAAGTCAATGGAAGACAAATTGAACATTTCATTTAAAAACGCAGTTTTGATTTTTTTGATTGTAAGCATGATAAAACAATTGATTTTTTTAAGAATGTGATTTTTTCATACACCATTGTAAAGAGGCTTCCATGACCTTACAAATGAAGTATCACCCAACCCCTCTTCCCTATTCAATTTTGAGGGGTTGAAGCGCCTTCTTATAGGGGGTTACTCGTTCAAGCCTCAAATATACGTCAAAAGATGTCCCCCAAAGAAAATCATCAGACGTGTTTCGGGAAATTTTTCCAATTACTATGGGATAAGAACTATACGGGGTGACTCGTCTGAGATGAAACACCCTGCATATAGTCAGAATAGGTAATTGCTTGGTAGCTATTACCACCGGTGTAAAGTTAGAGTAGTAAGTTTTTAGCAGTAAAAATAACCGAAAACACCCGATCGGGAAAATAGTGGCGTCCGGCATACAACTATTTTAATAATCTTGTCTATATGTATTTTACATTAATATCGGACAAATAATTAATATACATACCGTTGAAAATGTCCGATTTTGAGAATATATCTAAATTTCTCAAAAATATATTTGATGGAAGATGGCCATAATTCGTGAAATGCAATACTGGTGCCATCTATCAACAGATAGTCACACTATCGAGTTGCACATATTACTTGTAGAGGCCGAAACTTGATTTTAAATTAAAGCACTTTTCTCTCACGCGCATGGAGAAACGATTATTACTCACGTTCAGGCCTCGCAACGAAATCGAGACAGGCGTAACAAAAAAGCTACAAAAAAGTTACAAAAAATGAGCCAGGTCCGGGCTGGTGCCGCTACAAATATCCGCTAAGCTAGCGGATCCGCGCTTTTCTCAGATTCAGTACAAGCTACAAAAGGGAGACTAGCGTAACAAAAAAGCTACAAAAAAGTTACGAAAAACCAGCTGGGTCTGAATCTGTGCCGCTATTATGGAATTTATGGAAATTCAAGCTAGCGGATCCGCTGTTTTTTCGGACCTGGGCTAAGCTACAAATTTGCAAATAGTGTAACAAAAAAGCTACAAAAAACCCGCCAGGTCTTGAATGGTGCCGCCACAGAGTGCCCGCTAGCTTGATATAGCTAAATTTACACGATAGTTATGTAAAAAGAAACATTCAATATTATTTCATAACGATTATTTAATCGATTTCTTAATGATTATAAAAAGTTATTTAAAAAAAAAAGAAAAATGAAAAACTAAACTGTCGGGGGTTTGAACCTGGGTCCTCTGCTTACAAGGCAGGCGTAAATCAAGTAGGTAATTGATATATATATACTGGGGTAGGTATACACCTTAGATTATACAAACCTTAGATGGAACATAAGACACTGCGCATAATCCCATTTCAAAATGATTCACACCCACCAATCACAGTTGAGAACATCACATGTCAGACCGTTGTCCATCCAAATTTAATGTGTCAACGAGAATTAATTTGGTATTTTAGTGACTTAAATTTTGGAAATTAACGTTGAAAATGCCAAGATGTGTTGTAAAAAGCTTTATTTATAATAAACCTGCGAAATGTGACGGAGATAAAAGAAACTTATATTTATTTTGGTGAGATATTTAATTTTTAAAGATTCTGTCGACGTCCATATTTGTTGATTTGAAAATAAACAGAATCGGACTTGGTCATTGGTACATGTTATAAGTAGCAAATAAAGGTTATTATTATAAACTATTTACTATTTCTTGTTTCATAGGGAATCTTTTTTTAGGAAGTGAAAAGAGAAACATACAATCAAATACAAAAATATCAATTTCATTGCCAATTTATTCGTTTCAAACTTCACAACTGGTTTCAATAGTTTTCTCAAAACTATTTATTTAGTAATTCTCTATAATAGTGTTACTCTAAGTGTAAAGCCAAAGTTTCCGCGAAGAAAATAATCACAATAAAAAAAACAGTACTATCCCCACAAAATGGAGGGACCTGGCTTGAGGACCGTTTTTTGGGAAGTAATTTTTTTAAGTCACTAACAGGAAGGAGGATATGATTTTGCTTTAGGACTTTTTTTTATTTAATTTTTTATGGGTGAAATAGATTTGGGATAATTTTTGCAAGGAATCTTTGGAATAAATCAAAAATAAATGATGCTCTTGTGCATTTTCAGCCGATTAAATTATTCGTAGATGCATCAAATGTGGGAATAAGGGCCATGATATGTCATGTTTTTGAAAAAAAAAAAAAAATATTGATAAATCTATAGTTTCTGCTTCGCGTACCTTATCAAAGTCCGAACAAAAATATTCCCAAATTGAAAGAGAGATCCTTGCAATAATTTTTGGCTTAAATAAATTTAATGAATATTTATATGGACATTTGCATAAAGTAGAACATTATGCAACTGATTACGAAAACTTGATTATGTCACCAGTTACGAAATGATAATAAATAAAACTGCCTCTTTTATGGTTTCTAAGTTGAAAAATCGTAAAATCGAGAAATTGAGATACCGAGAAATCAAAAAATCGAGAAATCGAGTAATCGAAAAATCTAAAAATAAAAAATTGAAAAATCCAAAAATCCAAAAATCGAAAAAACCAAATATTGAAAAAGAGTCAATGAATAGTGACATTTCATATTTTAAAATATGACATTACGTTTAAAAACAAAAAAAGAGAAGCTGTAAATTGCGTTTAATTTTTAAAATAACACCGTTATTGAAAACTGCCCATAAATGTAAAATTTTGACGTACTTCTTTAAGGATAATGGGTAAAAATGTTTTTTTTTTCAAATTTCTCGCGGGTAATGTCAAAAATTAGATCGGCAACACTGCATATGTCCCTTATTTTTATTATTACTATTGAAAAAAAAAATCGTCGTAGGGCAATCAAATACAACAATTTTCTAAAATATTTGATTGGAAGTACCTACACAAGAATGATGGTGAATCATTTTTCAACACAATTTTATAAATAATCAAGTCAAAATTAGAAAATCTTGTATATAAACACGTTACGAAATGCCGTTTTGTGTAAGTCGTTCATGTTGCGGGAACTCGCTCCGCTCGTTTTGCAAATATTTACCCGTTACACAGAATAAGGCATTTCGTAACTGGTTACATAAATAACTATTAATTGACTTTCTAATATTTAAATTCATTGGACGGTATTTTCCGTAAATAATTAAATCATAAATAATTACCAGGATATAAGTATCAAAACATTTTTTTCTCTTAAAACAGTAGGCCTATGTCAAATAAACTTAAAATATTATAACGAACGAAAAGGTAACCCATTTAAACTTTTACTTAGGGTCGATTTCACCGTTTTATTAAACGGTTTAAAATACTAAACGAAGATTAAAATGACATTTTTATAGTAACAAAAACGAAGTTTAAATTACTAAATGGAGTTTAAAATGACATTTTTATATTAACAATGTCATTTTAATCTTCGTTAAATAATTTAAACTCCGTTTGACACAACGGTGGAATCGGTCCTTAGCTAGTTATATATTGATAAAGTGTTATTGCCCCCTCATCATACATGAATCGTGCTAACAAATAAAGTCAAACAAACGTCTCATAATTTTTCATCTTTTAATTACCCACCAAAATTAGGTACTACAATACAAATATTTAAGTCCGGCCCAGAACACCTCCCTACTCCTTCCACCCAGTTTTTCGGTTTTGGCAAAATTCGCGCAGCGAGAAATGCTTCCTATGTTACCTCTACCCTTTCTAACCTCTTTGGTATACACTAAATGTCAAATTGAAATTTATTATTTTGACGTTTTATAGAAATCAATTGTGTTTTTAATAATAATTGTACTATTAATGTCTTCTCTCTGTTACCAACATTACTGCTACAGAACATGATTACTGCGAAATTCAATTTTCAACTTCTGCCCATTTCTACTAAACAAAATTTTGGTCAATTGTTCCACAGGATATAGCTCATTAAAGTAAACCGAAGAATAAGAAGAATGAACAGATAAACATAACCTAACATTTTGAACAATAAAAATAAAAATAATATATGAAACAAATAACACCAACAAATGGAGATAAAAAATGAAAAGACTGAAATGAATCAAAATGTTGATAAAATATTTTAATGAAGCATACTCATTTTTGTACAATTATAAATAGCCATAATGATACTTTGTCCTTACAGTGATACTAGCGAATCTGAAAATGAATGTGAAAGTCTAGGTGAACTAATTTACATTTTTAGTTTTTTAAACTATACAGTTGTACTGTTTGCTGAATTTCACAATAAGTACCTAATTGCTTTAAAAATATTTTCCCACCTGGTGGTTCATGGAGACCCTAAGTACCTTCAAATTCTACATGAAGTACTGTTGATTTATACATTTACCTTATAACCACATAAATATTGTTTTTCTAGATAATTCACCAAATGGTGTAACCCTAAATGAAGGCTCAACATCACCTCTAAAACCTGACAATGCCAGGAGATCCAGGGAATCCTCAGGTAGTTTAAGTTCAGAATCAAGAGGGGCAAGAGGTAGAGGGAGGCGAACAAATACAGTTTCTCCTACAACTCCTGAATCTACCACTGACAGGGTATTTATTTGGGATCTGGATGAGACCATTATTATTTTCCACAGCTTGCTCACAGGAAGTTATGCTGCCAAATACCAAAAAGATCCACAAAATGTTGTGCAGCTCGGATTCAAAATGGAGGAGATGGTTTTTAATTTAGCTGATAATAATTTCTTTTTTAATGATATTGAAGTAAGCACCTTTAAATAAAATAAAAATATTTGTTAATATGCTTAGCTGACAAAAAATTTTGCAGGACTATATTTTTTAAATTTTTTAGGAGTGTGATCAAGTGCACATAGATGATGTATCATCGGATGATAATGGGCAAGACTTATCCAGTTATAATTTTAGTACAGATGGTTTTCAGTCTACTAGTACAACGGGAAGTGGCAATTTATGTTTAGCAGCAGGAGTTAGGGGAGGTGTAGACTGGATGAGAAAGTTAGCCTTCAGATATAGAAAAATTAAGGAAACTTATAATAATTATAGAAATAGGTATGTCTTCAAAAAAGTTTATTTATTTTTGGTTACTTTGGTTTTTTCAAGGGTTTTTCAACCACTCGTAAAAATATACGTTTTGTAAAAATTGTTTGAAAGTGATTTATTGATTTAGAACCAGCAAATTTACAAGAAATAATAATTTTAAATTACATTCATTGTAATTTCCCCAACAGTATGAAAGTACTTGATTATTTTTATTACTTTATTTTAAATTTAACTATTCCATTTACAGAAAAATAGATTACTTAAAACTTACATTAACAATGATCAAATGATTTACAGTTATTGTGACTTATTATAAGCAAGAGTTAGGCTAGCTTTGTATGAAGATATTCTAGTAGGATAATGCTACAGTAAAAAGTGTTGGAGGCAATCTTGAGCAGCATCTAGTAAAGATTTAGTGAAGTAGTAAATTTTTAATGCTATGCAGATACGCCCTCTATGTCTTCTTTTCGATGAGGCACATGGCCTCTACTATGTACGACCTACATATTAAAGTTGAAATAGGCTCTTGACCGGAGTACATTTCCTTTTAAGAATATTTTCTTTCAAATTTGATAATTTTACATGTTTTGTTGCAACAAGGATTTTAATAATTTATTTATAAATTGTTTTTGTTTATTTGAATGTTAAAAATTCTTAAAACTAACTTTAAAATATATTTCATATGCTTCTATGCACTGGCGCTTAGTGTTCAAATAAAATGTGGGGTGTCCCATATAGAGACGGTTAAACGAAAAAGGCTTAAGAAAGCTAGTTGGTAGGTACACATTTGTGCAAGGCAAATTTACAAATTTTTCAATCTTTTTTTCACTTGTAGAAAATAGAAATACTTTACTGCAGATACACCAGCAGTGGAGTGCATGATGATGGTGTCTTAAAAAGCCATGTCACATATTTGGTTAGATAATTAATAATAATAATAATAATAGGATAAGTCATTTACATGCAAATATGTACAATAGTATAGTATACATTTACAAAACATATAAAATCTAACTAACACATTTAAATATATAATTTGACAATAAATACACAAAATCAAAATTAGGACTGATATGCTTGAAAACACCCATATGACATAGGCTGTATCTTGTACAACAAAAACTACAGGAGAAATTCATGAATGCTATAGGGGTATTTTTGGGATAAATAGCTTTTTAATTTGCATTTAAATAAGCTCAGACTATTAATTTGTTTTAGAGAGGTAGGTAAATGATTGAATAACCTTATTCCACAGTAGTATGAACTTTTTTCGAACATGGTTGAAACATAAGGGGGTATGCGTAATAAATTGCCACTACAAGTAATATAATAATTATGGTTGTCTGAGTTACGGGTAAATTTAGAGATCTTTGTTTTAAATTATTATATATATTGCTGGAAAAGTCAATATATTATATCTTTTGAAAAGATCTCTACAGGTACTTCTAGCATCTAGGTTAAAAATTAATCTTAGTCTTTTTGACAAATAAAAACTCTTAACGTACCAGTCGCATTTCCCCAAAGCAATATGTTGTTGGCTAAATGTGAATATGCCATCACATAGTAAACTTGAAGAAGCTGTCTGGTTTCTAACATATTTTTTAATTGGAAAATTGCATAGTACATACTATTTAATTTTTTGCAAACGGTATCAGTATTGTAACTCCAGTTCATATCCGCATCTGTAAGAACTAGGAATTTTGTTTTCATGGACAGTGGGATAAAATCATTATTTAATTGTATTAAAAAATCTATACTTATTCTTGATCCAGAATGGAACTGAACGAGTATTGTTTTGTTGTAGTTAACAATTAATGCATTTGTTTTACACCATGCAGTAAATTCTCTAGCAACAAGAGACAATTTGGAATGAAGTTCTTTAGGTGATTCTGCATCGACAGCAACATTGGTATCGTCTGCATATATTGAAATGTGATCGGGTGAGATGAAGTTAGACAAGAAGTTTATGTAAAGGAGAAATATGAGTGTACCCAATACTGATCCCTGAGGAACACCGTGATTCATATCATTTACTTCTGATAAGCAACCATTGATTTTAACAGACATTTTATGAGAATCTATATAGAAATTAATCCATTGCAAAAAGTTACCCTAAAACCTAAAGAACTTAATTTGCCAATAATAATTGAGATATCAATGGTGTTAAAAACCTTAGATAGATCAAAAAGAACACACCCACTAACCTTTTTCTGTCCAGCTAATTATGGACATAATTAAAAAAGGCGGTAGTAGCACTTTCTGTTGATCTATCAGGAAGAAACACATGTTATTGATCTGTAATAATTTTAAATTTAAATAAAAATGATAACATTTTTTAAAAATTTTACAGAGAACAGTAGGCACTGTGATAGGTCCATAATTTTCAAGAGCCATTGAATCTCCTTTTTTAAAAATAGGTGATACTCGAGTGATACTATACCTGTTTTAAGTTCTTTGGAGAATATGCCATTTTTACAGACATATTAACTTGACATAAGCACCTTCAAGGCCTAGGTCGTCAAGTGTTCAACTTTGGATTTCCCAACCCGGGTTCATTTACAGATAAAAATATTCTTTATTTATATTTTTATTTTGGAAAAATATGAAAAATGAAAAATACGACTAATTCTGTTTATTTATTTAAAAGACATTTTATTTATCTTAATATAACCCCTACAATTAATGCAATTTGTTAATCTTTCTGATAAATTTTGTAGTATTTGGATAACGGTTTAGAAATAAATAGTCCATCAGAACACAGGGCAAAACCTCCGATATCGGGACTGCCCCGTTAAAATAAGGATGTCTGGCAGCCCTAACGTCACTGGCAAAGTTTATTTAACTGATTTTTTCTGCTGTTACAGGTGTATCTCATGACATCAAATACATTTGCCGATTTTAGTAAAATTATATTGAATAATAAAATTATAACTACCTATATAGGTATTTACCCATTATTAATTTTTCAATTTTTAACATCCTAGCCCTATTTCCGAATATTTTATGCAAGCATTTTTTATTTTCGTTTATTCGTCTCTTTTGAACACAAGAATCTTCAGTTATTCATGTCTCATTCTTAATTCTTAACAGCGTAAAACTCAAGAATTAATTACCCGTCAATATTCCTTATTATAGTAAAATTCCACCTAACCTGAACTCATTCAATCTTTCCCAAACCAAAACAAAAACTGGTTTTTTAAATTGATTATTTTAGCTTATACATTTTTAAGTGACCTTCAAATACCCTTTTGTAATAATTTGCAATTATAACTATAAAAATATATTACCGAAGACAAGTAGAAATGAAAAAGAAGATTTTAAATTATTGTGACGCGAAAGCCGTCTCTGTTCCATGTTTACTTCTTGCCCGCGGTATGAAGTCTAGCGCTGGCCATATAGAGACAATCGCACCGCTTCGAGAAGCTACCGGATAGATCCCATTGCGGCGTATGAGTCATAGAGAGGCAGTTTTCGATCGTTGTGGAAAGCCCAGAGTATTCTGGTACAGAGCTGGCTTTATATAAATAGCGCGAGTTTATCGACGGGCGAAAAGATTCAATTTAAGTGTTGGACAGAAAAGATAAATTGTATTAAATAAATTAGAATTGTGAGTTATAATAGTGCCTAAGTATTATACAGTGCTTCTCAAAAGTCCCCTCCCCCTTCTTTTCTTTTGAACGGTGGTACTTAGACTGATGAAATTTGGAGGGTAAAAATGAACTATTGTAAGCTTGTCTACTAGTGGTAATAGGTGACGTAATAGGCATCGGTGACGTCGCCAGGCAACTGAAACCAATAATATTAAATGGGACCTTATGGCAAGTGACATCTCGTTTGAAAGGTATTTAGAATACCTATTCAGGCATACTATTTTTTTTTATTTACGATTTTTTTTAATATTATTGGTTTCAGTTGCCTGGTGACGTCACCGATAGTGACGTCACCTGTTACCACTAGTAGAGAAGCTTACAATAGTTCATTTCCACCCTCCAAATTTCATCAGTCTAAGTATCACCGTTCAAAAGAAAAGAGGGGGAATGGGAATTTTGAGAAGCACTGTATAAATTAATTAGTACGTTATAAATAAATTATGAATAAAGTGTTTTAAATAAATAAACTATAATTAAATTAAACAAAAGTTACATTATAATTCATACTTAAGCACAGACATGACCTAAAGACCGGACTTAGACACAATAATCTATCCATAAGGTTATCCTACTATAATATCTTCATACAACGGTGCTAGGTTACAAATGACAAAAGATAGTGAAGATTTTTTTTATATATTCATTGATTACTGATATATCATTTAGTGAGAACATCAGTGACGTAACTCAAAAATACACGTTTTTGACTTGTGTACTTCAAAAAATTGCTTAATGTAGCCCGCAACAGGTACATAACTGGCGAAATTGTAGTTCTACTAGTGTCCGCTCGGTCGCTGTAGTTGTCAGTAATGCTTGGTATTTTTATTTTCACCTTCGAAGGCAATACTGACGAATGTAATATTATTGATATTCATTTACTTAAAAAAAACCTGTTACATTATAACTTAAAGATATTTAAAATTTAGAGAGAAAAAATCGGTAAGATAGCTCCAAACGCATAGCCAAAAAAAAAAAATAATAATTTTCGTACAAACTTTAGCCGCGTTTATCTTAGATCAACATATTCGGAGTTAGGTCACTAATGTTCTCACTAGGCGATATGATGAGTGAAGGTTTCTAGTCTTCCTGAAAGACAAATGGCACTCGTTCATGTTGCGGAACATCGCTCTGGTTTTCCTACAAATATTCACTTGTTACATAAAATAAGGCACACGCTTGTCTATTTTCATTTGAATTAAATAAAAGAAAGCTAATCGTTATTTTAAAACAAAATGTAGGACAATCTAAAATATTTTAATTGACTTCCTAATATTTTAAATCATCCAACAGTATTTTTCAAATAATTAAATGATTAAATCATAAATATTTACCGACATAAAACATTTTTTTCTCTTTGAAGAACAGACTTATGTCAAATAAACTTACAATATTATAACGAAAGAAGGTAACTTATTTCTAAATAATTAAATTATGTATTTAAGTTTGGTGTGATCGTAGAAAAAATATTGTGTGTAATTCGAGCAGAAAGTGCTACTTTCTGCTCTTATTACACAAATACCTATTTTATAACATACAAACAATATTAGAAAATTTACCCTTCGGCATAATAATAACAAAGTTTATCAATTTTTAGTGTTGGTGGACTCCTAGGGACAACCAAAAGGGAACAGTGGCTTCAACTAAGAGCTGAAATAGAATCGGTTACGGATAATTGGTTGACCCTGGCCAACAAATGTCTGACGCTTATTAATTCCAGAAGCAATTGTGTAAATGTACTAGTAACAACTACTCAGCTCATTCCAGCTTTAGCAAAAGTATTACTGTTTGGATTAGGAGGAGTATTTCCCATTGACAATATCTATTCTGCTACTAAAATAGGTACATATTTTTGTTACTACAATTTATTTGCTACAGTTTAAAAAGTTAATCTGAATGTTCATTTAAGTAATGGGTTATTTTTCTTATATCTTATTAATTGAACAAATAATTTTTGTTTGTTTTGAATAACATATAAAAATACTCATTTAAGGGAAATGAGGTAGAGGCGAGTACGCTAATCATCGTCGGTTGTTCACTATATTATTATAATTTTGCGATTTTAGTCAAAATATCTAATTTAAAAGCTTCTATTTTGTATACATTAATGTAAAAAATAATTAAAAAATGTATATTGTTTTGCTTCTATTTTAACATTTTATGTATCGCTTAATTAATTTTCAAAAATGTGATGTTTATTGTCTGCTACTGTCAAATTAAATTTTTACTTGCTTTCTAAGAAAGACCCATTTCTTTTGCCATAATTATCAGAATCACCGAAAATTAAGAATTATTTAATGTCATAAAATCAAAACTTTTATTTAGTTTGCAGAACTTACATCTATTTTTTATAGTAATAATAAAATAAAAAATAAAGTAGGTAATAAACAATAAATTTATCACATTAAACATAGTTTATATTTTATGATATTAACAATATACAGTGAGTCTAAAATATGGATTGATCCACAAAAAATGTTTCTAAAGTAGGCCTTGGAAAAAATTGACGTGTCGCAGTATACAATTCTTCTTTTTAAGTGTTAGTTTGGATTTAATTGAGGGCCATGTGTAGTTGACAAGGACGTGACTCGTATCTCTGTCTTCGTCGGCCATGGCCTACTTCATAAACATTTTTTGAGGATCACTCTTTACCTTCCCCATGTAATCTTTTGACCTTTTGCATAAAAATTAATTATTACATTTGCAACACTTAAAACTGATAATTTTTTCTACTGGTAAATGGAATAATCTTCTAATATTAATTATATCGAAGTGCCATTTTGACTACTAATTTTAAACGGGATATATTTCAAACGAGGTGTCATTCGTAGTTTTGAATATGAACTCATTTAAAATTATTGGTTGAAATGGCACTGTGATGACATATTTGATTATGTTACCAGTAGTTAAAATTTAAGTACCACAACTTTTTTTAGTTTACGTCTCTTCAGAAGATGGCATTGGGGTAGGGACGCCCACCATATAATCTTTCAGAGATAAATCTTTTATACCTCAATAACTTTCATAATATGCTAAGTTGAAGAAAAGCCATGGACACATCAATTTTTAATTTTGATTATGCATGTTTTACCGTACTTTTAGTATTCATGATGTTCCTCGTTTTTTATGAATTGACGTCATTCAATTCCTAAAATGAAAATTTAAAAGGCTAAAATATGTATTTTAGCAAAATTTTGGTCCAAGACGTGTACCAATAAATCCATCCAGCTAAATAAAAATGGTAGCATCTTTTAAAATTTAATGATATAATTATAAATTTTTGTAGTGTAGTTGATGATGTTTATTTTAAATAATAAATAATTAGCTTCTTATAATAAACACACCTGATCTATTATTTTTACTTGGAATAAGTGGTTAGTTTTTATAAATTAAAATGCAAATCAAAATATATTATTATATATTTTAAATGTGGCTTTAATTAGATACGAGTTTGTATGCTTTCCTACAGTAAAATTGTTTACATACTTAAATTCCTTTATTGCATTGAGGCGGTACCTCGTTCATATAAAATATTTGGAACATCATTATGTTCCCGCCTAATAAACCAAGGGACAGAAACTTCATATATGAAAAACGTCCGCAAAAGTCAGATAAGACATGTTAACTGGAACAAAAATACAATAACTAACAACTGGAAAGGTATGTATTACGAGAAGAAAATTCAAATATTCGCCTTCCGAGCAAATATTTGGCAACTGTAATAATGTTTAGTTACTCTATTGGCCAGTTTAGAGCAACAATCCTAATCAGTAATAGTTTTTAGTGCCATTTTTCTTTTAAATGCCTGATTAAATGGGTAAATGAAGGTTTTCTTTGAAAACTAAAGATCTGACTTTGTCTACAAAAATAGTAATAAAAATTTCTATGCATTGTTATAGCCTTAAAAATCGACTTATCTTAAAATCGGCGCGGCGTATTATTAAAGTTATTGGATTTATTCTATTCATTCTGTGTATGGAGATCTTTAGTAACATGTACATAAATGTGTTCACATGTATATGTTGCTAATTTACTGTATGAATTTGAGAATATATATTTTTTTATAATTTAAGGTAAAGAAAGCTGTTTTGAGAGGATAGTCACAAGATTCGGACGAAAATGTACTTACGTAGTAATAGGAGATGGACAAGACGAAGAAGCTGCAGCAAAAGCTCTGAATTTTCCATTTTGGAGGATAACAAGTCACAGCGAAATCGCAGCATTGTACAATGCCCTTGATATGGAATTTTTATGATTTCTCATATTTGAATTCCTTATGTATAAAATGTATATTTTATAAATATTACTATAAATATAAGTATTAAAATGAGAATTTTATTTAATATATAACCCGTCTATCATTTTTTTTCATTTAAAGTGACTGGAATTCTTAACTATGAAAAGATTTTAAGTTACAACAAATTCCACTTTTTGTTATTCCTTTAAAACAATTGGCAAATCCTTTAAGCCTGCACCTTCTTGTCGGAGAAAGAATAACAGGAATGGCACTCTGTATCAAATTGCAATGAAGAGAACGAAAGAGAAAGGGAAGAGAAAAAATCTCCTCTCTTTTTTTCCGTATCGAAATTTGTACTCTGTAGCAATTTCTTTATTTAATTTGGTGTGAATCGGGAGTTTCCGTCGCGAGGAGAAATTTCTAAAATAACAAACTAAAACTGTTGGTTTGACACACTAAATAAAAAAAGAAAGAATTTTAACTAACCCAATTTTTTAAATAAATTTGGATGTTTTGAACGTGGAATTTCTTATAATAGTATTACTCTATTGATTATTCTGGATCAAAGTTCATTTTCGACTGCTTTTTAATATTTTTATTTACCGCTAATTCAAAGCAGACCCTGTGTTCAAAGGTAAGTGGAGAAAATAAAAGTGATTTCAGATCATACCAGTAATTTGACTTTCTATTTAATAATAATAATAGTTATATTTTAACTTTCAGATGAATCCTGTCCTAAGACATGTGATGCAAGAATTCCAAAATGTTCAACAAAAATATAAATATTTTTTCTTTATTATTATTAATATTGTGATTAATTACAAACCGACAATGCACATAAAAATAAAGTAAACTTAAAATGTCGAAACAAAACTGCCAAATCAAGTTCTTAATGTAAACAAAAAAAGAGTTATACCCCTTCCATACATTAAAGCGAGACATATTAGCGATCTTTTTCCCAGTGACAATCGTACATGTTCGGTTCAATCGTAAGTAGTCGAAGAGAGTTACAGAGTAGAAAAACGTCAAAAGAAGTCGGGATAGAGAAAAGATCTCTTGCCTTTCTCATATTTCTAGATACGGAATGCCGCTCCTGGAGCTTCTTTTGACGTTTTTCTACTCTGTAACTATCTTCGACTACTTACGATTAAACCGAACATGTACGATTGTCACTGGGAAAGGGATCGCTAAGACCTCGTCGCTTAAGAATATGTCTCGCTTTAATGTATGGAAGGGGTATACCTCTTTCTTTGTTTATATTAGAACTTGATTTGGCAGTTTTGTTTTGACATTTTAAGTTTACTTTATTTTTATGTGGATTGTCAGTTTGTAATTAATCAATAAACAAATTCTGAACTAAATCTTTATTTAGTCTAAATAATTCTTCGAATCTAACATCAGGAAGGCCGAATGGATCACTTGCATCCCTCATTACCCTTTTAGCAATATATTCATATTTTTGTTGATTATTTTGGGCTTCTTGCATCACATGTCTTATGACAGGATTCATCTTAAAGTTAAAATATAACTATTATACCCAAATTACATAAATTATAAACTTGTTTTCATTAAATAAAAAGTCAAATTACTGGCATAATCTGAAATCACTTTTATTTTCTCCACTTACCTTTAAACACAGGGTCTGCTTTGAATTAGTAGTAAATAAAAATATTAAAAAGCAGTCGAAAATGAACTTTGATCTGGAATAATCAATGGCGTAATACTATTTTAAGAAATTCCACGTTCAAAACAAATCCAAATTTATGTAAAAAATTGGGTTTCTTTTTTTATTTAATGTGTCAAATAGAAGTGAAGCCAACCGTTTTAGGACGAGTAGTTCGTTATTTTAGAAATTTCTCTTCGCGACGGAAACTCCTGATTCACTCCGAATTAAATAAAGAAATTGCTACAGAGTACAAATTTCGATACGGAAAAAAAGAGGAGATTTTTTCTCTTCCCTTTCTCTTTCGCTCTCTTCATTGCAATTTGATACGGAGTGCCACTCCTGGTTGACGAGCCCAAAAAACGTGTTTTCCTTAGCGATCTATCTCAATGTCTATGGAGCACATCTAAAGTTAAATGAGAATGTTTCTTAATGGCATTTACAATAAGCTACGGATTGAATCAACTTTGATTCTAGTCACTTGTCCAGCACAAATCGCAAACACTCGTTTCTCCTGCACTAGGAAATTTTTGAGCATCTCAGAAAATTCGAAACAAGCGGTTAAACCAAAGTTGATTTTCTAAAACAAAATCGTTTATATCAATGAAATATCTTTTTGAATGTATTATAGTATACTTACAACTCTTATGCCGGGTGTGTTTGTTAAAAATAAAAAAACAACCAAGCATCTTTGCAACTGAAAAGCAATTCAATGATATACGGATGGTTCCAAAACTATAGAAGGAACAGGGGTGTATGGGGTATTAATACACTACGATCTAAAAGATATATTGTGCCCCATTCTATACTTATTGCGGAGAGAGAATAGTCTAGATGACTATAACGACCTTTCCAATTCTATATTCCCAAGGGAATGTAGGATTTACAGTGTCAAGTTTTAAACTTCCCTGATATCTTCAAGTTCGGTAGATCGCCCTCTCTTCTATTTGGTATAGTGCCATTCGATTCTGTAGTGTTACACATTCTCAAAATATGACTGGAAATTTCGCATTCCTCATAGTATTTGCACTTATTATCTTCCACTAGTCTCAGTTTACTGTGTCCTTTGAGTTGGCAATGCCCGGTAAGGATCCCTGCTACTATGTGTAACCTGTTCTTGCTCAGACAGATGAAGGCTATCGATATTTTCTGATTGTAGTTACCTACAAGTATGTTAGCCTGCGTTGGCCCCAAGAGATCGTTCCATTTGTCGCGAGGGGCAAATCACTCTTTGTGAAAATGTACATGTATTGCCGAATTCACATGATTTCCGCAATCATATGGCGATTTCTGGGCGACTGCGGTGATTTCCATGTGACTTTTTACAGAGTTCTAGTTACTGTACTGCGATGATTTCCACGTGACTTCAATATATTTCTCGTGACTGCGCTCATTTATGTGTTGACTGCGGTGATTTCGGTACTAATTGCGGCGATTTCCGTATAGATTGCCAGTATTTTTCAAAATTGCAGGTATTTTCGAAGGATTTCTACAACAATGTATGGCTTTCCAGTTGATTTCCAGTAAAAAACATTAGTTGGGGGTTATATCAGGAGAACTACATTTTGTATAGAACATGCGTATGGGTCATACAAGAAAATGAAAAACTAAAGTTTGTATAAGACGTGAAAAAAAATGTGAAAATTGTTTTATAATTCTTGTGAAGAATTGATAAATAAAACTTTAAGCACCATATCAACGGACATGACAAGGATAGTGGAAATAAATATATAATAATAAAAAAAGGATTTTAAACTTATTTTAATAATTGTAACGACACACCCCAACTTTGTACTAAAGAACTGTATTTGATGTTTTAAAAAAACAAGGCTTTAATGCCAAAAAAAATAATAATTTACAAATAATAAAAAAAAACTACTGAAGAAGGCACTGATCAGTGCCGGAAGCTTTACCCACACATACACGAGTTTCATTTCTCACTAGCACCTAAAAACCCAAGAACTACAAAGAAAAAAAAAAGATAAATAAAAGCATTCAACAAGATATTCGAGTATATTTACAAATATATCGTAAATTTAAAAAATATTTTTTTGTTTTTTAAAATGTATTTAATTTAATAAATTAAAAAAGTCATCATCTATTTTTAAAATAGTCATTTTATCTTAATTATCTCTAAATAAATTTTTATAATTTTGTAAATTTTCGTTAGCGGGTAGTAAAAAAATATACTACACAATTTAAGTGGATTGTCCGTCTTACATATGGCTATCATATCCACTCTTGTTGTACAAACTACTATTGTGGATCACTCTTTATTTAAACATATTAAATTAAAACATACACTAACACTGCATCTGCCAACTATTATTATAAAACTAAAGGGATGAATTAGGGTGTATTTTTTATCCCTATAGATTATGTGTACTATTTTTGCAAAAAATTATTCTTTCCACTTTTTACATAAAAATCTGATATTTCCAACACATGACTCTCCTGTCTAGTCTAGTTACAAGCTCTTTCCAGTTATTTTGTACCACCTACTGTATCAGCCCTGTAAATGTTTGTTTAGAGATTTTCCACACACATCTTACTCCAAATATTTTTTACATGTTTTTATTGACTACGGAAATACTGAACAATTAAAATTTTACCCTTTTTGTAAAAATTTTCAATTACAGTCCATTTTAAAGATATATCATGTATAGAACTTTTATTTGAATAATTTTTTTCTCCAATCGTAAATAACAGATATTCCTTGAAGTAAAAAAACAACGACACCCTATAAAGTATCCCTTCTCCCCCCCCCCTCCCCAGAGATTCGACTATGCCCAAAATTTAATCTCTTTATCCGTTTTTGAATAATTTCCAAATTCAAAATTGCCTTTTTCTTCAAATATCTCGAATACGGTCCATTTTAGGAAAATCATGTATAGAACAAAAAATTATATCACAAGCAACTTTTATTTGAACAATTTTCTTAAAAATTCGAATTTTGTACTTTTTGCAAAATTTCTCGAATATTGGACAGTTTCTGGAAAATTATGTATAGGATAAAAATTATAATATCATAAACAACTTTTATTTGAACAATTTTTATAAAAAAATATTATTTTTACATTTTGTCAAATTTCTAAATTACGGATCATTTTAGGAAAATTACGTCGGTACCTATAGGATAAAATTATAAGAGCAACATAAGCAACTTTTATGTAAAGAATTTTTTTCTCCAAGCGTGACAAGCGTAAAAAATAACATATATTCTATGGAATAGAAAAGCGACTCCCAAAACGTAAAAATCCGTAGAAAACTCGAGGTAGAAAAAAATCATGATTTCTATAATTTCCTTGTCTGTATACAGACAGGAAAGTAACAAACGTATTCTGTCTATAAATTAATTTCTTTTTAAATAAAATACATTTTAATTAAAACGTGTATGACCCTATATATAAAATCCAAACTATTTTATTATG